CAGGCTGTGAAGATCAACAAATCCCAAGATCAGCAGGTAAGCTGCTGGCTCAAGTCCCAAGAACTGAAGGTCAGATGAACAAGAGGCAGCTGCAAGATCCAGAGAAAGCAAAAGCCAGAATGTCCACTTATATTTGGACTCAGGCTACATGTCCAAGGAAACCCTCTTTCAAATGATTGACTACTCCAGCAGATCTCATTGTGGGGTGGTCACATGTAAACATTGAGAATCATCTTCTAGCCAAGTTGACACACAATCTTAACCATCACAGTCAGGAATAGGATGAGGAAATGGAATGTGTGGCTAATTGCCTCCATGAACAACTGCCTACTTTGCCAAGAGACCAGAAGAACTGGATAGTGCCCGGCTACCATTATTGAACATTTTGATCAAAGATTCCATAGAAGAATTCTTATCAAACGGGGGAAAATGCAGAACAGAATTTAAAATTCTTATGGATTCTAGACTTTCAGGAGCCATGGAGGGTGGATGAATCCCTGAAACTATTGCCCTGAGATAATCTTTAAACCTCAAACCAAAAATATTCCCTGGAGTCATCTTAAAACCAAACAATAGTTTAGCTAAACTAGTGAAAAATGTCTGCCTTGAGCATTATGCTCTTTTAAGAACTATGTGTATGGTATCTAAGTGACAACAGCAACTGGAAAGATTAGATAGAAATCTTAAGGGGCAGTGAGTTTATGTTAATGAGGAAGGAACAACTCAGAAGAGCAGGGTCAGAATGGTTGCACAACTCAAAGAATGTAATCAGTGTCACTAAATTGCCCATGTAGAAACTATTGAATTGGTGTATGTTTTGCTGTGTATATTTTCAAAAACAATAACTAAATAAAATGTAGGAAAAAAAAGTAGATTGAAGACAGTACACAAAATCTGTTCAATAAATATTTCTCTATCAATGTGGAGGTAGAGTCACAGTGATATATATAACTATGTACTATCTGGCACTTAAGCACTTTCCAAAGCCAGACCTAAAATTTTTTTTCATTGAAAATGATGTAGACTGAGGTCCAAAAGCATTTATAATTTTAGGTAGGATTAAATTTATACAAAAATCTTTCCAGATTTGTTAAATTTCTAGAGTATTGAAATGTTGAAGAACAGTAGCTTTTTAAGAATAAATGAGAATGTTTGAAAGTTATCTCCTGAAGGGATTTGGCATTAGCAGAATGTAGTTATAATAATTAGCTCAATGGGATCAGAGATTCTCCCCTAATTTATGCAAAAGTAAATTTTACCCTTCTAGAAGTTTCCTTTGTTTTTTTTTTTTTCAAGTCATTTGAAATAATATTATAAATCAGTTAATGGCACAAATTTTTGTTCGTTTGCTTGCTTGTTTGTTTCAATCAGTACCCCTACTCTGAGAAGGACACACACACACACACACACACACACACACACACACACACACATCAATTTAATGGAAAATTAAATAGGTGTAAACTCTTTGGACAAGTTAATTTTACCAGAAATTTGCCTAACTACATCACAGTTTTATAAAGACTGTCTTAATTGTAAAGTTTGGAGAGTTCAGGTCATTTAAAAAAATAAATTTAGGATTACAGTTCATAAAATAAAACAAATGTGTCACATATTTTACATAGTTTATTCATAATTAGTACAAAATTTTCTTCTATATCAGAAAGGTCATAGATCTCTCAGGCAGATAGCCCAACCTGTCCCTAATGATTTTATCTTTAATTTTTGGCATAATTTGTAAGTCATTTCCAAGGACAAGCAAACTTGTTTACTACATGTTTTATGAAAGTTAGCACATATTTCAAATAATTAACAATATAGAGGCGTGGCAAAGAGTAAAAATACTTTTATTATTCATAATGGAGGAGTAAGGGTGGTGTAGCTAAAATAATGAATGACTTTGTTAGTGTCTACTACAAGGCAGGCACTTTATACAAATTATTTATAATATTTACACACTCTGCAAGATTGGTATTATTTCTTTGTTTTATCAAAAATAAGAACTAAACCATAAAAAGTTTAAATAATGTGCCAGATATCACAGCTAATGAGAGGCAGAACAAGAATTAGAAATGAGGTTTGCTTGGTGAAGCCAGGGATCATTCCTTTACATATGGCACATAAAATTAAAAGTGAACATATGAGGTCCCAAAACCCCTGAATACCTGAGAAACAAACATGTAAGAAGGGCCCATCTCATGGATCACTGACACTTAAATTATTAGGCTTTGACCTACATAAGGAAACCTATTAGTCATGTAGAGGAGGATGTTTTATTCACAAACAAGGATAGGCCCTCATAGTCTTCTTTGGTGTAAATGTGGCTGTCCTGTCTACACTTACCTGGTCTCCTTTCTGGTTTTCAGGATAAATAACAAGAAGTTTTTAGAGTGTTTCCGCTTTATCTCTCAATTTCTCTAAAACTTTCCTGAGCGCAGCCATAACTTCCTTATTCCTCAAGCTGTAGATCAAGGGGTTCAACATAGGGGCCACCACAGCATAGAACAAGGCCACCATCTTTTCTTCTTCTACCAAGGAGGCAGACTGCGGCCCCAAGTAAGTGAAGACGCTAGCCCCAAAGCACGTGGAGATGACAGTGAGGTGGGAGGTGCAGGTCCCAAAGGCTTTTCTCTGTCCCTGCGCTGAGTGAATTCGCAGGATGGCAGCCACTGTGCGAGTGTAGGAGAACAGGACTAGAAAGCAGGGAAGCATGATCACCAGGAAGCCAGAAATGGCCACCATGACCTTGTTGAAGGAGATGTTCACACAGGATAGACGCAGCACGGCCAGAGTCTCACAGGCAAAGTGATTAATGATATTATGACACAGCGGAAGCCGGAATGTGCTGATGATTTCCATCAGTGAGTTCACACAGCCAGCTACCAGGCAAGTGGTGGTCAGCCCCAGGCACAACCTTCCATGCATGATGACCACGTAGTGCAGGGGGTGACACATGGCCACGTAGTGGTCGTAGGCCATGGCTCCCAGCAGGAGGAACTCGGACCCACCCAATGACAGAGAGGAGTAAAGCTGGAGCACACAGCAGTGGAATGGGATGGATTTGTGGGTTGAGAGCAAGTGGGCCAGCATCTGTGGGACAAAGCTGTTTGTGTAACAAAGATCCACAAAGCACAGGACACTGAGGAAGAAGTGCATGGGGGTATGGAGCCTGCTGTC